CCTGCTGACTCTGAGGTCTGCAGCGGTCGCTCCGCAGGAAGCATCTGCACTTGATTCACAAGGGGGGGAAGGCTGGGAAGTTGAGACTAGGTCAGACTGGAGGCGGAGCTCCTGGCTGTCCCCCACTCTGACACAGGGCCTTGGACCCTGCCTGAGGAAGTGCTCTGGTGGGAGCGGAAGGCGGTGGCCCTGAAGCCCTGTCCTCACGCGTGTCTCTGGAATGGTGCGTCCTGTCGGGGAGGCAGCCGGGACGTGACGGCAGGCGAGCAGCAGCCTCGCGTTCCCTACCCTGCGCCCAGAGACGCCTCTGCAGCGAATGTGTTCTCCACAGAACAGTGGCCGCTGGGAGATGGTGCTGCGGCCTTCTGTGACACCCAGCCAAGTGGTGGCTGTGCCACCGGCTGCACATCCACTCACTGTGCAGCGTGAAGGGACCCGGCACTCACGTCCTGCTCCACAAGCACCTCGGCGGTGTACCCTCTCTCGGACTGCAGGTACTTCTCGTGGAAGAGCTTCCCGTCAAACACGTTCCAGGGCATGAAGTCGCTGCTGCTCCAAGGGAAGCCGCAGGCGCTGTTGACCAGCACCAGCATGCTGAGGCCGCGGACCAGGAGGGAGCCAAGCTGCACGGCTCTGGGGTCCACGTGCTCGAGCTGCGGAAGTCAGACACACGGAGGTGAGGGCGCACGCCTGGGGAGCGGACACCTCGGCCTCGCCACCCGCTCTCCGTCCGCAGACAGACGCTGCCGCACAGCCCGGCCCACCCTGGGGACAGAGGCCCGGGGCAGGCGGGCCTGCTGGGAGGCCTCACTCGCTCCATCGGCCCAGTGCACACTGTACATGTGCTCCAGGTATGCTCCGCACGCAGACGAGCTCGGAACTGCAGGTGCGATGCCCGCCCCCACGCATGACCCTGCCCCCAGCAGAGGCCCCGCCCCGCGCGGACCTTCGTCACCGCAGGGAAACGCTGCGGGCTGCGCGCGGGGCCTCTCCTCTTACAGACTGTCTTCAGGGGCGAAGGCGAAGGGAGAAAAGTCTGGAGACTCACTGTAGGGGGCGGATGGGCCCACTGGACTGTAAAAATCACACTGCGGCCCTGAGTGTTGCGTATTCACCATTAAAACATCATTTCAAGTGAACACTTATCATTTCATAATAAAATGGCTTATCATCCCACGGGCCGATCATATTTACAAATTAAGAAGGGCGTTCAATATAAGACACTGCTGCTTGTTGTCACATCTACCTGATGTCAAACATCCGTGCTGTTCCCACTGAGAAACCTCCCTGACGCGGCACGGAGTGGAAGCCGGCGCTGCCTGAGCGCTGGTCACTCACGCTCCTGCGACCCCGGCCTGTGCCCACCACGCACGCGGTGAACTGTCAAGTAGCATGCGTCTGCGATTTTGTCAGCGACGTGAGTGACTGAAGCTGTCCTTGTTTAATCTATGTTGTTCAGACTACACTGCCACGATGTCAAATGTCACTGCATATCTAATACAGTGCATTAAACCAAAGAAAATCGGGGAAAAGTAACACTGAATCCTCTTTATAAGGCTTCATTTCACTTCCTAAAATAACAAAATAACAAAAACCTGATCATCATCTTAAAGAAATTCATCACGAACTGGGATTCCCGGAGTCACCCTAGTTTGGATGAAAGTGTCGTGCAAGACTGCTTTTGAATTGTCCAAGTCACTTTCAGAGAGAGCCACCGAGGAGAGGTTCCAGAGCAGCAGTGACCCTGACGAAAAGTCACTTTCCTCCCTTTTCCCTGCAGGACCCGTAGGTGAGGCATCCACTCTCGGGCTGCCCTCAGGGTCACAAGCATCTCACCATCATGTCAGTGGACTGCAGAGGCTCCTTCCGCGCACATGCACTGCTGTGTCTGGACACGCACCATCCGGGCCAGCAGCCTGCAGCCACATGTGATTTGAGTTTGAAATCAGCGAAATACTCAATTTCTCGAATAAAAGTATCTTGGCCACGTTTGCCTTATTTGACTTTTCTAATTACAATGTAAGGTTTTAGAAAACAAACTACCTTTCCTCCCCACAAGTCTGTTACGGAAAAGGAGTGTGCCAAACCAACTGGAAAGACGATGAAAATGGAGAAAACGGGGGCTTGTGAAAAGCCTGGTGACTGGGACCAATTTCGAAGTCATTTAGCAACAGGGAAAGCTCCTAATTTAAGCTAACTGGGGTTCTCTGCGAAAGCAGGACATTTCCTAGGCTGTGGGGTTACGCTCTGAGGCTGAGGTCACCTTCCTAGCAAGAGAGAGTCACAGCGATTCTTCCTAGCACTGGGACTCCGGGCCACCCGGGCGCCTGCCCAAGTCAGCACGGCAGAAGGCGACCCAGACGGAGCCCTTGAGTATGGAGCAATGCCACGTGGCTAAAAAGTATGGTTTTACAAATAAAATGAATAAATAAAAGCCTGTATTTTGGAAACAGGATTTAAGGTGTTTTGGAATAAAGACTAGGAAAAGTTGAGTGCTTCCTGCAGAGGTAATGGAGCATCTGAAGGGACAAAAAAAAACTAGAAAAACCAGTTCCAGTGTCTCAGAGACTCACAGTAAATATTTAACAGCAAACAGCTCAACCTTGTGTTTATATGCTAACGACATTCACTTACTGGGGTTTAGTGGCAGTTATGTAAATGATATACTGCAGTGGAATAAAACTACTATTCCTGACAAGCCCAAACCACCCAGCCCACCTGAACTGCAGCCTGACACGGCTTCTCCAGGGCAACTGCCCGACAGACAGATAAGCAGGTGGAAACCCACGCGGGGCGAGGCCAGCCTGCAAACGCACTGCTGCTCACCAGTCTGTGGAGCATCAGACACGGACTTGGAGTTTCTCAGTCTGCACAGCCCGGCTAGGCTTTAGAGGGTCCGCCCGAGTTCTCCCCGCTGTCAGCAGTCCCCTGGTCGTAGGCGGGCACAAAATGACCGCAGGAGGCTGTCTGGACCCCGCTGGGTAGGTGCACAGAGCAGCGAGGGGGCTGGTTCCTTCCCTCACGCCGGATGGGACTCGCTCAGCCCCCTGAGCAGGACAGACAGAACCAGCGGCTTCCGTGAGTTTCTTGGAAACGGTCCCTGAGGGCAGAGGCCATCTGGGTGCGCTGACCACAGCTTAAGCTGCGCTCGCTTAACACCCGCACCCTCCGAGGTACCGGGTTTCTTACTTGTCCCTTCTCTCGCCTTGTCACTCCGGAAAGGGAACTTATTCGCTGACCGAGGCTGGCTAGCATGTGACTCATCTTCAACAGGGTCATGCACAAGCTCCAGAAATGATTTCCTGCTGGAACTGAACACTCACTTTCTACGAAGCCCAGCAGGTTCGCCGACCCTCACTTCCGAACCCCTCCTGCCTCTGTCCCAAGTGGCGTCTGTGGTGAAATGGAGTGCGGGGGTCAGGAGGCAAACAGACCTTTGCTCTCGACCAGGCGGTGTCCCCGAGTAGTGGGCTGACCAAATGTCAGTCACACAACCATGACGCGATGCCCATCTGTGTGGCCTCACACGCTGAGTCGCCAAACCTGGTGTTGAGAGTTAGGGCACACCCCACGAGTGGGGGACAGGGCCCCATCCTCCGAGAGCCCAATTCTCTCCTCTACGGGTCATGGCCTGCGCCCATTGTCAAGTGGAACACTCATTGAAACCTCTTTTTTCTGGGGGACATTATTTGAGAACAAAGCACAAAAATCATGAGATGAAGTCCAACACTCAACGTAGGTCAGAAAATCACCTACTGCCTTCATGTTAAGATGTCGCCATTCAGATGTATATCCCCACTTAGATTCTGCCTTAGAAAATCCAAATGGCCGCAAAGTGTGAACAGCATCACAAAGACAAATACACACACTCCGTTCAACAGGGGTGAGGCAGCTGGTGGCAGCTACGGGACACAGGAAGCAGCGCGGCATCTGCCCTGACGGTGGGTACGACGCCACGGGCCAGGCCTCACTCCCGCGCCCACCTCCTTCCCTCGCTTTGATGCTGTCGTGTGAGGAGCCCCAGGTTTGCTTTTCAACCCAGGAGCCCACGAAGGGAATCCCAAGCCATTCCAAGTCAGCATCCATGGCACTTGTGCCGAGGGCCTACGGGTTTGCCCCCAGAGACCACCAGCCAGTAGCGCTTCCACACGACACAGCAGTGAAGTGGCCCCGTCTGCTGTGCCAGCCCCCGGAGGGCCAACATACCCGCATCCCAGGGCAGTCCAAATCCCAGCCAGCTCTCCGGGCTTGCCAGGACGCACGCGGAAGTGTCACAGGCAGAGGGAGCTTTGCAAGGTGGGACTTCCTCAGGCCTGTGCTCCCACAACACCGCTGAATCAGAGGGACTCCACCCATGTCAGCGGGCACTGGTGGATACTCAAGGTACGGGTGTCAATTTAACCCAGTGCTGGGCCCTGAAAAACGGGAGTGAACACCATCCCTTCTTTCATACATTTGACCGATTACAGCAGAGGGAGAAGGTCATGAAAACACATAAAGGGACATGCAGGTGTCTCCATGGCAGGCAGCCCAACACAGGCGTCCTCGGTGAGGCCTGAGCGAGCTATTTGGAAAAAGGTCGAGAATGTGAAAGGGATTACACAACACAGACAAGTAAAGCCGGGGCAGAGCCTCAGAGGGGACCACTGACATCCTGCGGCCCCCTGGGGAGCACAGCAGCACACAGACTGAATGGAAATCTGCTGTAGGAGCTTTGTTTTTTTCATTTGAGAAAAACCTGAATGTAAAACAAGATACAGAGCCAGTAGAAAACAGGAAGTTACAAGCAGAGGATAAAGAGAAGAGAAAGACAGAGAGGGGCCAATTCACACCTCAGCCGGGGCGGGGCGGGGGATGGAGAGCTCAGGGCAGCGAGCATCTGCTGAAGAGGACAGCTGACTCATCTTAAGTGACTTCCAGATTATTGCTATGATTTTTACAACTCAAATGATTGAGTATGAAAGTTTAAAATGTACACGCTGCACAAGCGGTTCATGAAGACTCAGACTGCTAGAATCTTGATGTTAAAAGATGGCTGTTTCCAACAGATATGTGAAAAAACTAATTTGCAAGGGAAATGCAAATCGAGTCCACAGAGGGGCCCCTCACCCATTAGGGACAGCAAGTGGGGGAGGATGTGGGGAAACGGAGCCCAGTACGCGGCAGGGAGTGTAAACTGGTGCAGCCACGGAAAACAGCACGGACAGTCCTCAAAGACCTAGGAGCAGAAATGCCCCGTGAGCCAGCAATCCCTCTGCTGGGTACCCACCCGGAAAATCTGAAAACCTGCGCAGTAAAGATACATGCATCCCAATGTGCACTGCAGCATTATTTACAGTAGCTGAGGTGTGGGAACAACCTAAGTGCCCTTGCACAGAGGAATGGATAAAGAAGACTTAACCCATGTATACGAGGAATACGACTCAGCCATAAGGATGAAATACTGCCATTTGCGACACCATGGATGGATCTTGAAGCATCATGCTAAACGAAATATGTCAGACACAGGAAGACAAATACCGCATGATTTCATTTAGGAGCAGAATCTAAAACTCAAAACAAATGAACAAAGAAAACAAAACAGAAACAAACTCAGAACAAACTGATGGTTGCCAGAGGGGAGGGGGTGGGGCATGGGCGGGGAATGGGAAGGAGTTAAGAAGTAGAAACTTCAGTTATAAAATAAGTCATGAGGACATAAAGTACAGCACAGAGAACAGGGTCAATGACACAGTAATAACTACGTAGGGTGACAGAGAGTGACTACACTTACTGTGAAGATCACTTTGTAAGGTTTATAAATGTCGACTCACTGTGCTGTACACTTGAGAAATAACGCTGTATGCCAATTGTAATTTTAAGCTAAAAAAAATTAAAAACAAAAAACAGAAAAAAGCCTCTATCGTCCTTAAAACACTTTCCACATGGCTTTGGTGGTCCCCGGGGACCTGTCTGCACCTGGAGAACAGCCGCCGAGTTACAGCACCTGGAACCGCGGTTATAACAGCCAGCAAAAGCCCCATTTTTGCTGGAAATGCGGGGACGCCAGGGAAGGGGACTGGGATGTGGGGACTGCCAGCAGTCGTGCTCCCACTAAGCCTGCCGCTGAAGCGTCCCCAGGGCCCTGGGCCTGAGGGCCGGAGTGACAGCTCCCCGCT